CTGGGGGAGGGGGGGTCCGGGGGGGGGGGTTACCGAGCTGATGCCCTGGTACATCTCCTAATAAACCATCTTGTTAGTCTTTAAAGCGCTGCCTGGTCCTGCCTTTTGTTCCAGCTGCACCAGACTAAGGGCTGCATCTCTACCACCATTAAAAAGGAAGGGAGCCCCCCCCCCAAACCGGTCAGGATTTAGCTGTTTTGCAAACAGCTTTTGTTTTTAGCAGCGTCACCCAGGCTGAAATGTGAGCAGGAAGCTTTGTTTCTCTTGGCGGGCACTCTGTTTTATTGCCAACCAGGAATTTGTGTTTAATCCAAAACTTAGGACTCTTATGGTGTTTGTTTTGCTAGACAGAAAATGGAGTCCTCCTGCCCTCTCTCCAGTCTGCTCTGCCATTCTTGGACCTCCACGGCACTCCTAGGTTGGAATTTCATCAGTCTGTATTTGATGAGCTGAGGGAGAAACTGCTAGAGAGAGTTTCAGCCATTGCCTCAGAAGGAAAAGTTGAGGAAAGGTGTGTTACTGATCTTGTTGCTGCATATTACTCATCATTAGAAATTAATTGCAAAATCATGGAAGGTAAAGTTTTTTAAAAAAACTTAAGTGCTTAAGTCCCATTTTCAAAAGCAATTCAAGCACTTAAGACCTTAAGTGACTCAGGGGTTTTGAAAACTTTACCTTGCAACTTTTCTTGCTTGCATGTTTCCAGATACAAAAAGCTAGAGGATCTGCTAGAAAAATGTTTTTCCTTGGTCAAGATGCCATCTATACAGCCTGTGGTGATGTGTGTCATGAAACACCTTCCCAAGGTAAAATCTCCTTATATCTCCTGGTTACAACAGTCCCTTTTACTTTCTGCTGTTAGCTGGGCTGTGTGGCACATTTGCAAACTCTTCAGTTAATCATTCACTGGTAGAGATTTTGGCTTACACTTTGATTCTCATATCAGTTAATTTTAATGTAGTTTAAAAAGCATTTCATACTTTATAAATGAATTAGCGAGAGAAGCGTGTTTTTCTGTTTTTAAAATGTGCCTGTCCTCCCTCATCCTTCTGAAAAATAGATTGAACTCAGTGGTAGGGGGCTTTTTCATAACTGATTTAAACGGCATTGTAAGGATGACCTAGTAAATTATATAGCTTAAATTTTAAAGCTAGATTTTTTTTTTGTAAAGGGCAATATTTCTGGGAAAGGGCACGTAAAAGGAAACAACCCTTCATGTAAGGCACTAAGTATCCTTAATATAATCACTTTAAAACTAGGGATGTTAAAAATCATGTAATATGTTAACCAGGCAGGAGGTTTTGCTGCCTTGCCACATTGAAGAGGACTACCATTTTAACAGTCTGACCGGTGAACCCCTAGCTAAACTTTTTCCTGACTCTGCACTGTTGTTCATAGGTCCCTGAAAAGAAACTGAAGTTAGTGATGGCAGATAAGGATTTATACAAAGCATGTGCTGTGGAGGTGAAGCGCCAGATCTGGCAGGATAACCAAGCTCTGTTCGGTGATGAGGTGTCCCCATTGCTAAAACAGTACATCCTGGAAAAAGAAAACACTCTCTTCAGTAGTGATCTCTCTGTCTTGCACAACTTCTTCAGTCCCTCTCCAAAAACGAGACGTCAGGGAGAGGTAAGAACAGGGAGAACTTACAGTGAAATTTGGAACAGGATTCTCCAATCTCTGTCTTTGAAAAGGGAGCATATTGGGTTCCTATCCTGCCAGTATTATCAGAGAATTGAGCATCCATCTGGCCTTGAAACTTTGCTACCACCTGGAAAAAGCTATGTAAATATTTTGGCTAGTTACTTAGTGTCAGTTTATCTTCTTTAAACAAGTCTTAATGAAATAAACTAGGGATGTCAAAGCCAATTTTTAATTAGTTAACTGGTTAAAAGTAATGTTTAACCAGTTAACCGATTAATGGGGAGGGCAGTTGCGGGGGTGAGCAGCTGCCCACCTATCACTGCCCGTGCTGGAATGGCCCCCCCCCTGCTGCAGACTGGGACTGCCCCTGCTGGGCTGGAACTTCCTGCCTGTAGTGAGCCTTGGTCAAGCCTTCTGCCAACAGGGGCTGCTAGAGTACCACCTACCCACAGCAGCCCCTGCAGAGCTGGAGCAGCCCCCCACCCATGGCAGGTGGGAAGCTGCTCCGGCCCCCACTGGTTAACCATTTACATCCCTAAAATAAACAGGCTAATTTTATATTTAATAAATTAAACATAAAGCCCAATGTTGTTATAATTGTATTACTTTATGTCACTAGGTGCCATTCCAATAGGTTAATCTTTTGTTTAAGCAGATTTTTTAAAGTAACATTTAAATTGCTAAGCAAAATGTGTAATTAATATTTTTTCCTCGTTCTATCAGTCTGGGATTTAATACAACGCCCAGCTTTATCTACTGTATATTTGAGAGAGTTTGTCCGTGAATCTGTTTGTTTGTTCAAGAACTCCTCCTAAACGGTAAGAGCTTGGACTACCAAATTTGGAATATTGTTTCCTCTTCTCATAATTTAAAGTAAGGTCAGGGTTTGGTTGTGCCAGGAAAGTGGGATGTTCCTGGAATAGGATGGCTTTTCATAATACCATATAGCAGGGGTTCCCAAACTTTTTGACACAGGGACCAGTAAATCCATTCACGAGCTTTTAGAGGACCGATAAAACATTTGCATATTCAATAAGCAAATGATGAATATTCAAATAAGTTGTTTCTAGTCCTCCCAAAGCTCCCAGTGCCAGTGTTAGCAAAGCTTTTGATACAGTGACCCACAATATTCTTGCCAGCAAGTTAAGGGAATATGGATTGGATAAATGGACTGTAAGATGGATAGAAAGCTGGCTAGACCAGGGGTTCCCAAACTTTTTACTTTAGTTGGAACCCAGTTTTTTTTCAGAACTGTCTTTTGCAGCCCAAAAATATCAACGCATATTTAAAAAAAAGAATGAAAAATGAATACATTTTCAGTGTTTTGCCCGGCTGCATCCTCCACCCAGCCTGGGCCAGGGTTTGGGGGTCCCGGCGCCACATGAGCACTTCAGGAGGCGGGAGCAGGAGCAGATTGGGGGTGGGGTATCTGGCTAGGAGGGAGAGTGCAAGGAGGGGTAGGGTTGCCAGGTGTCCAGTTTTGTACCGGACAGTCTGGTATTTTAAGGTTTTGTCTGGAAAAGAAATTGAGAAATTACCAGACATATAAAATGCCTGGTATTTTCTAATTAGGTACGTCTTAATATAATTAAGCGTAATAGTCCTTAGCTGCCTGGCTGGTAGATGTGCTCGCGCTGTCTGAGTGTCTCTACCTGCCAGGCAGTTCGCAACTACTCCAGGGAGGGGGCAAAATGGAATCCGCAGCCAGACTCACTGGTCTGCAGTGTCTGCATGTGCCCAGGTCAGTCCCACTCCCCCCCCCATCTCTTCCTGATCTCCCCAGTCCAGCCCTGCTGCCCCCATCTAGCCCTGCTTCCAGCGGATATAGTAATAAAACTGCCTCCTATTGAGCTCTCCATCATAGCCAGTGGTCACTCTACAGAACCCTGTCTCCCCACCCTCAGCCCTATAAGAGCTACACACGGTGTCTTTCTGGGTTAACTCCTGCCTGGGGCTGGTTTTGTAGCAGAAACAGTTCAAAACAATCTTCAGGGTCCCAAAATGGAATTAATCACCACAATACAAAAAGGCCACACTCAGCTCTAGGAAAATGGATTGGGATTGCTTCTCAGAAAACCATATAGAAAGGAGGCAGGTGAAAGGGGTTCCTGGGGGTACATGCCCCTTCCCATCCAGGACTGTCCCAACTTCCCCTCCGCCATTTGTAGGGGAACATTGCTGACTGTTCCCCTTCATCCGGAGGTGAGAAGAAAGTGCACAGTTTGCTGCATTCCCAGGGGGCCGAGGAACCAGGATCTGCCTTAGCTGGGGGACATGTACCTCTCCCCTGGCTGTGCTCCATGGAGCTGTGACAGTTATGGAGAGGCACTTCTCACCTGGCACCAAGCTGCTGCAGTGAGAGAGGGCTGGGATAGTCCTTTCTCCCCAGGGCAGGCTGGGTATTGCCCCCTGATTTAAATGAAGCGCGGACACTTTCATTTTCCAGATAAGGACCCGAGCAACACTGGATAAGTCTTCTAGGGGGTGTGTGTGTGTGTAACCTTTCATGGTTAAATCAGGGCTTGTGGGTTTTACACTTCTATTCTGTTTTTACAGAAAATAGCAATAGTTCAACAATAAAAGTGAAAAGAATCGTCAAAAGCTGTGTATGTGGCTAGCCTGTTGAATAGTGTGAGCTTCTGAATGCTACCCTCACCCCAGCCTCTCTTCCTTCCTGTTGTATGCTACCCTCATTAGCTTGTCTTAAACTACATTGTAAATTCTTCAGGGCAGGGACTGTGCTTTCCTGGGTAATTGTATCGTGTCTGTTGCAATGGGACTTTTTGACACACTTACTTTACACGTGTTATTAAAATGTTCAAAAAAATCCAAAATCTTTGCTCCAAGCATCATTTTTTAACTTAAAAAAGGGAAAAATTCCAGAGACTCTGAAGTCCCCGAGGCATTTTGTTATTACTTTTGATTTTCCATGTTGGGTGCTCTGGAACTGTAGTGCTAGATGTCCATATACAACTCTAAGATCACATTTCCAGTAAAAGCAATTTCTATCGGCATATTTGGTGTAACAGGTCAGATTGCAATTACTAAGGTCTAGACAAAAATCTATTAAAGCACAAATGGAGTTGAAATGCTGAAAAGTTCTTTGTATGAAATGTCCTTTAAAGCTGTATGTTTTGGTTCAGGCATTCCACAACTGAGGGGACAAATAATAATGTGGCTTTGAAGCTGTCGTATTGGATTATCCTTTGGCACTAAGCGTGTGTTTTTCCATTTGGGCTTTAGGTGGTTCAGAAGCTGACTCAGATGATTGGGAAGAATGTGAAGCTGTATGACATGGTGCTACAGTTCCTAAGAACCTTATTCCTTCGGACCAGAAATGTCCATTACTGCACACTACGGGCAGAGCTCCTGATGTCGCTGCATGACCTGGACATCAGTGAGATCTGTACTGTTGATCCCTGTCACAAGGTAACGAATAGATGGACCAGGCAGAAGTAGTACTTTGGGATTTTCAGTCTGAGCTGCTCTCATTTGTACGTGTTGCCTTGAAGGTCAATAACCCAGAGAGGATATTATCTCCAGGCACAGAATACGGTTCAAATCCCAGCAGCACTAACTAAGCCGTTGGTGGTTACATTGGTCATGTGCTTGGTATGAAGTCTCAAAAAACAATGTGCTATCTGATCTACATGGATGCTACCAAAAACAAAGTTCATGCCACTGGTTTGCCCCAATGTTTTTGCCCAACAATTCCTTCTCCTCCCTGTTTGCATAGGACTATGCACAAGCTGATGCTCTTTGCCCAGAAGTGGTTGCATTTTACCAGTTTGTGAAATGCTGTGGCTCTTGATGTATAAAAAGTATTAAAATAATAATAAAAATGTAGGAGATTTTCTGTCCTATTTAGTGATAGGATGCAATTTGTCACGTGAATTAAGTTACTTATCCTCTCTACATGCAGTTGCATTCTGTTCTCTGCACTTAGGTCCTGGTTATACATTTGAACCTCTTTAATCTGACAACTCTGGGAAATGGTATGCTGGATTAAAGATTTTGCTGGACCAGGGAGGGCATGGTGGGGTCTGGGCAGGGAGGAAAGATGTATGCAGGGGTATTTAATTAAATATCAAGTGAACGGTATGATAGTGAAACCTTGAGGTGATTTATATATTTGAATGCTGGCTAAAAGGAGATGCCATGGGTGTGTTAAGAAAGTTCCTTTTCTTTGCAGTTCACCTGGTGCCTAGACGCCTGCATTCGGGAGAAGTTTGTGGACAACAAAAGAGCTCGGGAGCTGCAAGGGTTTCTGGATGGTGTGAAGAAAGGACAAGAACAAGTATTGGGGTGAGCAGTACAGGCTCATAAAATTGAGTTGAGAGCGATGCTTGTGTTATCCTACATGGATGAGTTACTTCAGTTGTTAATTCCCCACAAGTGCCTGGTAACAAAACCAATCATTACACGGTCCTTCTTAGTAAGATTACAGGTTTATTTCATCCCTGAGTAGTAACTCTGGATCCTGTAAAATAAAAGCCAAAGGGATTTTTACATCAGGTAGGACTCTGGCCAGTTTTAAGCATCTAATTATTGATCAAAGGCAGAAACATAATACTGATTAGCTTTTATCATTTTCGTTTTTGCTGCTTGTCTTCCTTCCCTCATAAGTTTTTAATTGGGCACTGTCCCTTTAAAGATACTATATATATAGCCTCAATGTATCTTAGATTTGATAGATTGAACAACAACAAATGGACAGGACCAAAGTTTTTGTTGCAATACAGACACTTTCTTGAGTAGCAGATAGTTTATGGCTGGGTGTGGGGTTGGGCTTTGGGTGTTCGTTAGCATATATAAAATTCATTTGTGATTCTGTTTACTTTCAGGGATTTATCAATGATCTTGTGTGATCCCTTTGCCATTAATACCTTAGCTCTGAGTACCATACGTCATCTGCAAGAGCTGATTGGGCAAGACACTTTACCCAGGGTGAGTCTGAGAAACCTGCACAGATTACAAATGAACCTTGTTCTGGTTATAATGAGACCGCATGTTTCAGCAAGGGAGATGCTTTACATTGCAGGAGAAACAATGAGACTGCTATCAAATGCACAAGTAAACCGAAAAAGAGGAGAAACATACACTTCATTCTAATTTCTTTCATTTGTAGTAATTGTAGGAGTTACATGCAATCACGGTAGGTTTACAGTTTTTAAACAAATATGATTTTCAAGTTGGCAGTATCCCCTCAGCATTTCTTACTATTAGATTCATGCTCTTCTAATTATGTATCCTTCAGGCAACTGTTTACTGCCTACTTACATTCCTGCCACAGTTGCTCCCTTTACTCCCTGTGCCAAACTGTTCTAGTGTCTGGCTTTTCATCTGAGTGGGGTTCAGGCAGTGGTGGGCAACCTGCGGCCTATCGAGGTTCTACATGTGGCTTATGAAACATGTTGTTTACCTTTGCCCGGGCAGTGGTGGGCAACTTGCGGCCTGTCGGGGTTCTACATGTGGCTTATGAAACATGTTGTTTACCTTTGCCCAAATTGCGGTTTCCATCCGCATAGGTTTTTTTCCTACCGATATTACTAAGGCAACATGCATGTCACATCAGCAAAGGCAGGTGAAGTGAGGTGCATGCTGCTTGCACACAACATTGAGTGGGACAGCCAGACGTTTCCTCTGAAGCCAATCAAAGCGCTGCTATCAGTCGGCACAGCCTGCGAAGCATAGGTTACCGAGTGCAGTTAGCAAAACTACCTTATTCTGGGAGACCATCTTGGTTGCAACAGTTTTGCAGCCGCTGAGATGGAGGAGGCCATTCATGTGGCTCACTCGCTAGCCTCGGTTGCCCATTGCTGGATTTGGGGGATTGCTGAGATGGAGGAGGGCCATTCATGTGGCTCACTCGCTAGCCTCGGTTGCCCATTGCTGGATTTGGGGGATATAATAAAGACAATTCCTACTGAATGATGTAACTGGAGAAAGAGTTTTCTATTGTACACTTTACTGAGCCATGTGAATGTCAAATTATAGTTGTTTCTCCACACACAGAAGATGATTATGCACTAAATAGTGTTGGGAGGCAGCTCTCTGTAATGCTGTGTCTGGCTGCTGACAGTTCCTGGGGGCAGGGGGGCAGCACTGCGTTAGGAATGTTGGTTGTCACGTAGCCAAGGTGTAGTCCTAGGAAGGACTTAGTATGTAGTCGGCAGGTTGGATCCTCAGGTTTTCTGCTATGAAAAGGGTACTCACAGGCTTTGCAACAAGGATGAGATTCTTTGCCTCGGGTGGTTCAGGACTCAGATGTTAGGATGGGAACTATACAAAGCTCACTTCCAATATTTCATCCTTTGGGCTGCTTCGTTTATTGTCAAATAATGTCTTTTTATCATTTTAAGCTCCATCGTACTATGTAATTGTAAGGCCATTATTGTTACACACTCAATACTGGATATTTACTTACAAACGTGTGTAGTTTCTTTCTGCCGGGTATGGTGTTGTATTATGTCGAATTGTTTTAAAAAGTGTCTCGCACGCTCAGTTGCCAATTGCCTTAACATCTCCAAGCACGCTATACAAGGTTACCCTGAGGTGTTTCTGTTCTGTAGCGTTTGCAGCTGTTTGGGGCCCTCTGAGCTATCATTCGTTATTTTGGTAATCATACCAATTGACAGCTCTATCAATCTTCTGTCCTCTAACGTCTCTAGATAATGCCTCTGAATCCAGGAATACCACTGAATATAAACTACAGCCAAAAAAATCTCCAACATGTAGGGAATCGAAGGAGAACATAACTTTTCATATGAATTTCCAGGAAAGCCCTGATCTCTTGCTGCTGCTTAGGATGCTGTCTCTGGGACAAGGCGCCTGGGACATGATCGACAGTCAAGTCTTCAGGGAGCCTAAAATGGTAAGCTTCTTGAAGAGTGTTTCCTCATTGATTTCTTCATCATCCACTTTTAAAAAATCCATGGGACCAGCTTATTCAAATGCCTCTAATAAGCACATAGAAATATCCTGTTTGTACAGATGATACTTTGCATTGGCATGCACCATTAGGGTTTGAGTGTACACCAGTGGGTGCTCTTATAAAGTTTGCCTACGTGCACCCTTTTTTCTAATCTTGAACAGCTGGGCTGTAACTTGTTTAAATCAAACTCTGTGCTAATGACTTATAACTCCTGGGATTGCCACCCAAATAGTGAGACTGGATCAGAACGAATGTGCAAATAGTATTGCTGGGGCTAGCCCTAAACTCTAATGGCAGCTTGTTGCGTTATCACTTCTGCCTCCCTAACGTTGTGATAGCAGCGCTGTGGAGGTATCACAGTCAACCCCTGGAAAGTGCATTTTGGATCACTCAAGCTACCCTCCCCTCACTTTCTCCTGGCCTGCTTTCTGAACAGATGTGGCAGCTCTGGGAGAAGTTGTATTCCACTATCTACAGAAGAGAGGGTAACCATAATACTGGGCAGTAAGACAGGATGTAAGCAGAACTTCAAAAATGTCATTGCTGTTTCTCTTCTGTGCTGCATGGTAGTGCAGTACTTCCCCGGGGTTTGATAAGACACGGAATAGATACACCTCTAGCTGACTGCCCATCTACCTCAGCGATATACATTTTCCATAGGGTTGGAATGAGCGGTGCTCCTGCACCACCTGCCTTGAAATGGTTTCCACCCTATACAGGGGTTACAGTTTTGCTCAGTGATTCTCAGCACCTCCCACTATACAAATTGTTCCAGCACCCCGAAGTGCTTATGCATTAATAGTCCCATACTAATGTGATTAGGTAATTATGACCTTCAACAGAACCTTGACTTACATTAGTTGTAAGGTTCCTCCTTCACCTGCTAGCACTATATAGAGAGAGTGCCACAATTTGCCTCATTTTTTAATGAGCTTTGTGGTTCCATAAACTCTCGCTTCCTGTTGTTTCAATTTGATACAAAATAAGTAATTTTCAACTGCTGTGGGAAGAGGAAATGAGTGTGAACTTCCCCGGCACTCCTCAGGGGAGCAGGACTCAGTGTGCAGTAGTTAATATTCTGTCAAGGAATTAATAAGATGATTTGTACTCATTAGCATACCACTCTCTCCTTACCAAAACCTTCTGTGTCCAGCGCTTGCAACAATATAAGATAAGGTGCCTACATGGGATCTGTGTATCACGGGGTAATTACGTTAAATCAAAACATTCGTCCAATAGTGTTTTTGTGTATAAACTGAAGGATAGTTTTCTGATTAACTCCTTATGTTCTACTGAAGGACGTGAAAAGAGAAGTCACTGATTAGAGAAGGAACTTGGTGTCTGGATACCATGTTTTATGTTCCTATGTACCATTGGTTTGCCCTGTGGCCATGGGCAAATTGTGTACCTTAGTTTTTCTAGCTGTGATGGGTATATTACATGGTCACTTAAACACTTTGAGATTCTTGGAGGGAAAATGACACACACACACTGAATTTTTTTTTTAGTATTACAATGGGTTTTTTTCCCCACCTCTAAGGAACATGAGTTGATCACCAAGTTCTTGCCGATGCTGATGTCTTTTGTGGTGGATGACTATACATTCAACGTAGATCAGAAACTGCCATCAGAAGAAAAAGGGCCAATTCCTTACCCCAGCACCATTCCTGAAACTTTCACCAAGTAAGTTATCCACCTACGTGCGTTAGATCTTTTTTCAAAGCAAAGCATTAGGCTACGTCTACACTACATCACTTACAGCAGCACAGCTGCACCACTTCTGGTAAAGGTTCTCTAAGCCAATGGGAGAGAAATCTCCCATCAGCTCAATAACGCCTACCTGTACTGTATCAATGGAAGATGCTCTCCTGCCAACATAGCACTGTCCACACTAACACTTAGGTTTGTGTAACTTAGTTGCTCAGACATGTGGATTAATTGAGTGATACACTGAAGTAATTTGTAGAGTATACATAGCCTTATGTAGCTAAGCTGTGGTATAGAGGAAGCCCATTATGTGCAACCTGGCACAATTAAAAGGAAAAAAAATAACCCTAATTGCAAGTGTCCGTTCTGTTCAAGTAGCTCTCTCAATGGAGTAGTTGATTAAAAAGCAGTAAAACTACAGGTCTTGAATAGGTCGATAGAAAGAACCAAGCGGGTCTCTGGCAAGAAGTAAGAGAGAAATGGTGCTGCTTTGGAGCCAGAGAGGGTGGTGTCCTGTTCAGATGTCTTTGAGCTCCAGCTAGAAACTGGCATTTTTCTCCAGGACTCCGATCGAAAGACAGCTGCATAGGAAAAAGAACAAAATACCCAGGCCCTTATTCAGCAAAGGACTTTATAGCCAGTGAGGCTACTCATGTACTACATGTGGAATCAGGGCCTAAGAGAATAGAATAATATTGTCTTGGTGCCTTTGGCCTCAGTTATTTCTTCATGGACCATACCAAAGAGAGTTTGTTGTAGACAGAGCTGATATTAAAAATCAATGTGCTGTGGAGCATATTGCTGCTGCTCCTTAAGCCAGAGGCTGCATCAGTTGGTTAAAGAGAGTTTGGAGTTGAATGTAGTTTAAGAGGTTTGCTACGGTCGTTAAAAGAGTTTGTTACCCATGAAGAGGTTAGAAAGAGGATAGTTCTTTAACTGACAAACATGGCTACTACTCAGCAGTAACACATTTAGGCTATGTTTACCCTACAGGGTTTTTGCGCAAAAACCCCTGGAGTGTCCATATCTCAAGTGCATTTTTGTGCAAGAACAGAGGGCTTTTTGCAGTGTAGGTATACCTCTTTCTACGAGGAATAACTCCTTTTTGCACAAGAACTCTTGCGCAAAAAGATGTGTGTGGATGATCAACAGGGGTTTCTTGCACAAAAAGAGCCTATCAGAAAAAGCACAGGTGTTGCGATGGCCATTCTGTGAATAGCCATTAGAACTTCCTTGCAGAAGAGTGTCCATGCAGTGTGGACGCTCTCTTAGGCAACAGCACATCGCTTTAGAAGTATGGACACGCTTTTGTGCAAGGAGTTTTTGCGGAAAATCTCTTGCGCAAAAAGTTTCTTGTGCAAAAACCCTGCAGTGTAGACAGAGCCTTAGAGAGGTGTGAGTGTCTGATCATGAACACTGTTTTGAAACTCAGCACAAGTTGGTTTGCCCCTATTTTCAAGGAAGCAAAGTCTGTCATCCCTTCACAAAGTTCAGTATCTCCGCTATTGGAAAATATTGAAGCAATTAGTGTGGAGTGGTATTTCTTACTCTTGACTTTTATATTGGCCTGGTCTGTGGAGGTGGTAGGGATGTGAAGGACTAATCGACAAGCAAATGCTTATCAGATAGTTAAGCTTGTCGTCTAGTCAGTTCCCTCCCTTTGCTGCCTCTATCAGAATGAGGCAGCAAGGGGGAGGAGGAAAGAGGGAGTACTTCAAAGCTACAGCACCGCTTGATGCCTGGAGCCAGACCCCAGGCTCTACATGGCGCTGCCACTTTGAAACCCCGCATGCAGCCTGGGGTCAGCTGGACAGCATTGCACAGAGCCCGGGCTCAGCGGGGGTGTCCCCAGCTGACCCTGGGCTCCACACGGTGCTTTCACCTATAAAGTGTAGCAGCAGCCCTAAGACTGTTTCTACACTTCAGAGGTGAAGACGCCCTATCAAATAGTCGATGCAAAATGCATCAACTATTCGATAAGTCAGTTACTTGCAATTTAACATCCCTAGGAGGTGGGCCCTCACATTAATGTTTCTTGCTTTGACACTTCATTTCAGTCTGTGTATAGCAAATAACGAAGGGGTGTGTTGTTTTCAAATTAAGGAGACATTTGTGTGTCCTTCACAAGCAGAGTACAGTGGCTGCTTTCATGGTTTTATTGAATTTAAGTGCATTTGGACTGCTCACCATTACTCAGCAAGAAAATGAACACCTTCACATGTGCTACTAGAAATAAGATGCTTTTGTGCGATGAGAGGACTTTGGGATTTCAAAGAGAAACTTTGAAAAAGGTTTTGGGGTTAAAAAAGAAACTTCATGTGTCTCTTTGCAAAACCTTTGCTGAGTCGTGTTCAGACCTTACACTTATTTTCAGTGCACTTCTTGTTGAAGTACCACTTCCAGTTATGATCACAATTGCCGCAATTTTGTGCTAGAATAGGCATCTAACCTGTAAAACAAAGCAGAATCCGATTTTCTATTGTGTTCAGGTTGGTCCTGAAGGTTCCTTTCTCCTCTTAACTGTTCCGTTAGAGATGATGATTAGAAAGTAAACCGTGTTTGGGGAACAATTATTTCTTTGGGCCCTGGCAGCTCTCATAGATCTCAATAGGAGCTCTTAGCTGCCACTTCACCCAAGACTTGAGGTTAGCTGTTTCCCTGCTTCCTTTTCTCTCTCAGTTCCCAGTTGTGGGCCCGTCTTTATTTCTTAACTGTTCCTTTAGAGATGATGATTAGAAAGTAAGCCGTGTTTGGTGAACAATTATTTCTTTGGGCCCTGGCAGCTCTCATAGATCTCAATAGGAGCTCTTAGCTGCCACTTCACCCAAGACTTGAGGTTAGCTGTTTCCCTGCTTCCTTTTCTCTCTCAGTTCCCAGTTGTGGGCCCGTCTTTATAAGGTTCTCTTTAGTGAGGGGGTTCTTGTTCTACTGATTAAGAAATGTTGCCATAACAGATTCCTCCAGGAGCACAGAATAGCCTGTGAGGTTGGGCTTTACTACATACTTCACATAACTAAACAGAGGAACAAGAATGCTTTCCTCCGGCTCCTGCCCGCACTAGGTGAGTCTTGTTTTCCTCTTACATTTTGTACCCACTTGTCACATATAGGAGGCAGAAAATAAGGGGTCGGGAGGGGGGGGAGGGTTGGATCGTGTCGACATCTCTTGGATTCTAGTTTCAGCTCTGCTAGTGATTCACTGCATGAGAATGCCAATCCCTGAGTTTACGTACTGACAGAAGTGGGGTTTTCCTACTGAGCAGGAATTCTGGGAGGTTATGTTTGTAATTCTGCCGATGAAAGGCGCTGAACTAGCAATGTGCTGGGCTGGTCAGAATAACGCGGGAAGATACGTTGTTTCTCTGAGCAGGAAGCCTGCTTTAAACAGTCCCCAGAATTTGCAATGGAGCAAAACTTTCCATTTGACCCACCAAAAGAACTCGCAAGGAAACAACACAGTAGCTAGCTGAGGCTTAGCTGCTCCCAGAATTCTCCTTCAGTGACGGCTCAGCCCAGCGTTCTGGGTTCTTTCTTGCCTCCCTTTATATCTAAGGGGGGAAGGGAGCAGTGTTCCCTCTCGTCCTTCCCACAGGCGTGCGGAAGGAATTTTGTTATGTGCACCGCTATGGAAGTGATGGGAGACACATCGCCTGCGTATTGGTGCACGTAACAGAATTCACGTGGTGACGGTGGGGCCCAGGAGTTGGAAATGCATGCGGGGGCTCAGGGCTGGGGCAGAGTCTGTGTGTGGGGCGGGGGGGATGAGGGCTCTGGCTGGGAGTGCAGGCTCGGGAGCAGGGCTGAGGATGAGGGGCTTAGGGTGCAGTCTGCGCCAGCACTACGGTGGGGAGGGAGGATTCCCCCTGCAGCAGCACTGGGCTAGAGGAGCCTCTCCCCGCTACCGGAAAGGATGCCTGTCCCCCAGCCACAGCAGCTTGGGCACTAAGCTAGATGGGGGCTGGAGAGGGGCCCATGGCTGCAGCAGGTTGGGAGCCGGGCGAGGTTCCTCTCCCCAGCCGTGGCAGGTCTGCTGGGCCTGGGTTCTCTGACACCTGGGCGGTGCGTAGGCTGCTCCATGTGCAGCTGCACAGCTTACAGGGATCTTGGGCAGCGAACCACCTGCAGTGGTCAGTCAGCAAGGCGCACACAACTTTTTCAGCGGGCTCACCTTCCACTAACATGGTATGATGGCATGTCGGGGTTCCCCGTCTCCTGCACCCCTGTAGTGGCACGAACAGACTCCACCAGCCAGTAGAATAGAGGGTGTTTATTGCTTCTCCAGGATATAGCACAGCACAGATGGAATCTGGTTACAGGAACTGGGGCTAGGAGGCATCAGTGCCCCCCTTGAGATAGGGGGTGGCTGGCCCTACAATCCCAGCCCCCCTCCCTAGCTCCTTCTCCCCTGCTTCCCAGACCGAAACTAACCCACTCACTTCCAGCCCTGCCCCCCGCTCAGGGGCGGCATTCCACCTTCCTTTGTTCCTCTCCATGGGAGGTAACCGGTCGAATAGGTTACCTCCCTGTCCCATCAGCTACTCTGCTGGGCCGTGGTACCAGTGGGGGTCACCTACAGCCCAAGCCCAGCAACCAGCAAGATACCAACACTGCGTCACACATGGGAAAGCTTTCAGGCAAGTGCTTGCCCGTATGTTAGTCCTGTCCCTCGTCTTGTGCAGTCGAGACGTTCAGCGACCTGGCCTTCAGTGACATTTTCCTGCATCTGCTCACGGGTAACCTCACATTGCTGGCTGATGAGTTTGCACTGGAGGACTTCTGCACCAGTCTCTTTGATGGCTTCTTCCTCACTGCCTGCTCAAGGTAACTGGCAGCCTTCTTCAGAAAGCAGGATAGTTACAAGATGAATGGGGCGGTTCACACCTCTCTGAGCTATTGTTTAGCTTGTCTGCAGATTCTTCACCCCCCTCAGATGGGGAAGGCTGTTAACTGCTGGTTTTCTTTGCAACCAGTTTTGCAGCAGTACGGTCACACGAAACACAATGTGTGGCTTATAAATGATTGTGCAAGCCCTAAATCGTTATTGAGAAGTGCAGTAGGGAAACATTCTCCTTACAGCACAGTAGCAGATCACATTTCTGCTTTACAGTTAGCTTTAATTTCAGCTCTATCATTTGTAAATGCGCACAGAGAACCTCTTACTAGTTCTAAATGATCATATGAATTCCTTGGAAGCCTATAGAACAGTGGTCCCCAATGCGGTGCCTGCGGAGCAATCAGGGCTGCCCCCCCCCATGGCGTGCGGCAGGTGCCAGCCCCGGGCGCATGGGCAGCGCCTGCCCTGGGGTTGCGGCACATGCCAGTGCCGGCCCCGTGCATGCGGCGCCTGGGCGGCCCCTGCCCAGGGTCGCAGCACATGCCGGTGCCGGCCCTGGTCCCAGCTGTGCCCCCGCCCCCAGGCGCATGGCCTGTGAGCGGCCCCGCCCCCAGGCGCCCGGGAGCCCTATAACGTTGGGGACCACTGCTATAGAAGCATAGGCTCTTGCGTAGAAGCCGCTCGTTTACAACTTCAGCATTGTTGATAAAAACAAAGCTCCCACAGCTTCAGCCCCCAGACGCTGCTCTGACGTAGCCGTAACTTTCTCTCCCAAGTATGACCGTTATAGATATTGATTTCATCACTTTGCAATTGCTCTTCACAGAAAAGAGAATGTCCACAGACACATGCTAAGATTGCTACTTCACCTGCATCACAAAGTGGCACCTACAAAATTAGAGTCGCTCCAGAAAGCTTTGGAACCTACCAAGCAGGTAAGAAGGGTCACAAAAGTAATTGCACATGAAGGCGGCTGCATTCCCTGAAGCTGCTTACCAGAGCCTGTGCCCAAGGAGTATGGAGTATTGGCTTCATTATAGCATCACCTCCTCTTTGCACTCTGCTCTGTGCCGAAACACGCCCAGGGTCCTAGTGCTTAGTGTTCCTTCTAGACTGAAGTGTGACTCTTTCTTTGGTTTTCCCCAACACTCATTCCGCAGAGCGGCGATGCTGTGAAGGAGCTTTACAACCAGCTGAGCGAGAAACTGGAGCTTCGCAAACCCAGTCCAGCCCAGGTGGTTGAGACTCCATCCATGGAACTGACTTTACCCACCGTGCCCACCCCAGCCTCGCTCTGAGCCTTGTGAGCAGGGCTCTGAGATGACAGAGAAACGAATCTTGGGGCACTACCAAGTGAAGGCGTTTCAATGCTCTGCTAAGTGTCTCTGGCTGCCGGGAGGAAACTAACCCATAGCCATTGAAGCTCTAACGGAAGCAGGTCAGACGTTGTGGGCTAGGAGGCTCTGTAGGCAGGGTATTGCACAGGGTTCTGTTGCGTAAGGAGAGCCTGGCAGCTTTTTGTGACTACTCCGCTTGTAGGTTTTTTTCAAAAGACAAGTCTTATTTTTATAAGCTTTGTATCTTCTTGTGTGTTTAGATGTACAGTTTTCTAGGGCAGTAAAACCTGGCTTGTGTAATCGGGCAGAGGGCATCAACCCCTAAAGTCTGAGCAGTTTCTCTTTGCCCCACTTTGCTTCATTGGGTTTTAAAGCTGAGCGACGGTTCTCCCCAAACGGGAACAAGGCTGCAGACTTTATCCATTGTTCAAACTCGGTGCAGTGCGTCTTTCTGAAGACGAGTGCTGTGCATACCTGCTGGCAGGTCGCCCTGCGGCCGGGGGAAGAGGAGAGCAGTTCCAGATCCCTCGCTGGGGTTGTTGCTCACTCTCAGTCGTAGGGCTGGCATAGTTGCGGGACACCTACATCTGATGTCAGAGGCTGGCTGTTCAGCAACCGGAGCCCCAGCTTTTGCAGATCCTTGGGCAGCAGCCCGGCTAGGAAGAAGAGGAGAGCTGGAGAAGCTCAGGAGCTGGAATTTGAAGACCTGCCTTTTGAGGAGTCCCAGGCTTCCTGGTCCCAAGGCGAGCTTCCCAGAACCAAGTCACAGCCTGGCTCAACCGCCCATCCCTCGCTCCTCTCCCCTCAGTATTTGTACCCGGCTCAGGCTGGTCGACTGCACCAGAAAGCCTGCTCACGGTCCCATGCACCCCCTTTCCTCCCCCATGAGGTTGCCCTGTTGCTGTGGCAGTGGCTACCACGACCATCACTGGGACCTGGGATCTTGGGACAGTCAGTGGGAACAGGGCCAGCTGTGGAGTTGCCAGCTGGTGACTGAGCTCCTGCTCCAAAGCAGCAGCACCTGATGCCCCCTTTTGATCCAAAGAATCACAGGACTGGCAGGGCCATGGAGAGGTCTTCTAGTCCAGTCTAGACCATGGCCAGCTAGGGGACCCTTAAGGCTCTTTCCTGCCCAACCTGACAGTTGCCACTCTTGCACCGTTGGTTGAGCGAGCTCTGGTTGCTCTCCGCCACAGAAGCAGAGCAATAGAGAAGCAATGGGACACAGATACAAGTGTGGGCTAACCCTTTGGAGGCTAGCTGTATTGAGCAGCAGGCCACCCAAGTCAACACAGTCCATACCGGTGGTGAGTAGTCTCTTGGAGATGGCTTGCATGAGCCAGCATATCCCCAGAGGGGCCTACGGCTCACCACGACCGTCCCTGCCCCGAATTGCTTGCAGTCTCAGCCGTGAGACATCCCAGGGGTGCAGCAGACAGACCTGGCTATACAAGGAAGCAGTGGTCAGTGTGGGCAATGGCAGCCACAGGTCTTTTTGTGGACCAAACGGCAGAGGAAGAGGAAGAGCCTGCAGCGGGAGAACGAGGTGACCTTGCAGGTGTCTTCTGGGGAGCTACTCCTATGTTTGAGGGGTGGCAGGAGAGACAGTGCCAGTGTGTCAGGATGGGATTCCAAGCGCCACATGCTCAATTTCTGCCCCAGGACGTGGCTCTGTAATAAAACACCTGCTCCTTCTCAAGGGCTCTTCTACAGTAGCTTTTAAAGCACGGTACAAAGGAGGCCAGCATCCTCCTCCCCATTTCAAAGATGAGGAAACTGAGGAACAGAGCATTGAGTTACCTGAGAGCTAGCGGGTCCATGGCAGAGCTGTGCCTAGAACCCAGATCCCCTGGGTTCCAGTCCCATGCTCTGTGCTCTGTCTCAACCCCTCTGACGCACTGAGAGAGTCCAGGGTCGGGCAGTTACTCTGGGATAGTCTTGCAGTAGAGCTAGTTGCTACCGGACTGCTCCCTGCCCTGGCTGCAGCTCAAGCCCTGCTACGCCAGTGGTCCTGCAACCTGTGTGCCCCCCTGCACCTGCTAACTGCCCTGTGGCACATCCCTTCCCGGGCCCTCTGTCCAGAGCAAGGAGCTGTGGTATCTGAGGTTGACTGCAGCCAAGGAGGAGATCCTGGCTCTGACGCTGATGCTCTCTGGCCAGTTTCCCAGTGAGCAAGTCACTGACAGTGCCCCAGCCTGCATACTGGTCCCATGTGACGTCCCACAGTGCCCACCTCACACCCCTCCATCTCAGGGCCCCAGCTGTTTGCTGGCCACCCTGCCTCACTCGGGGGTTGGGTTTGGGGAACGGGCGCTGGCTGGGGAACCCTGAGCCAGAGCAATGTCACGCCAGCACCGAGGAAGGAGGTTAACTGGAGCTGGCTGGGGCAGCCCAAACCCTAATTGGAGCTACTAGCCTCATTAACCAGGGGGCTGTCTAAGGGGGGGCAGGCAGTATGGAAGGGAGGGAAGAGCCAAGAGGGTGGCAGGCAGTATGGAAGGGAGGGAAGAGTCAAGGATTCCTGGGCTGTGCTCACCTGCTACCTGCAAAAAACAAGTGCTCCCTTCAGGTTTGGAGCCCTGTATCTAGGGGCAGGAACTGGCTCATTCAGTAAAAAGCCCGGCGATTGCAACCCAGAAGACGTCTCTGGCTGGCCTGTGGGCGTGGGAGTGGGAGACGCCTGCGCCGTCCATTTCAGCCTGTTACCCGTAGGACAGTGGTTCTCAGACTGCCAGGCCGCCTTGCAGGTGGGCCACGGCTCAAGCTCAGACCCCTCCTCCCCCCGCAGCTGGGATCCCGCACTGGCACTCCCGCCTCCTGGCCCATGCCCCATGAGGGTGGCGTGCCAGCGCCTGCTTCCTGCTCGGGGGCGGGGGAGAGAGCCCCGAGCCTCCCTGCTGGATCCAGCTCATGGGGAAGAACAGAGCTGGAAGTAGCTCTACAGGCTGCCACTCCCCCTCCCCCAACTATCCAGCCAATAGGAGCAGCGGGAGCCATGCCTGGGACTTGGTACCTGGGAGCAGAGGGGGGTGCAGAGACAGGTAAGTGCTCCCCTTTCCTTCATGCCCAGACCCCCCCCCCCAGCCCATCGTGCAACCTCCCTGCTGAGATCCTGCACCCTCACTAGACACCTCACCCCTACCCAGCCAGACTCCCTACTCCCAGCCTGCTCCTGCACCCCACCTCCCACCCAGACCTCACCCCCTCCCTATCCCACTCCCTGGCAGCCCTGTCCTGCACACCACCCCTCATTTTTAGCCCCACCCTACAGCCTAGTTGAGTCCACAAAATCCACTAACCCCAGAAGAGTTAATCTGGCCCATAGGAAGCCTTGAACCTGTCTTCCCTGCCCCTCCCCGCATGGGGCTGGGGTGCCAGGGGAGGGAGGTGTCTTGGTTGGGGGGCCACATCAGTGAGGGCTGGGGGTTTTTGGAGGGGGGGTTGCTTCTCATTTGTGTGGTCCCCGACTGATGTTTCTGTGCATCAGTGGCCCCCGACCAAAACAGGTTCCCCACCCCCACCATAAATAAAGACAATGTTGAACCCTTTGGAGCTGGAGATAAACTAATATTTTACTGTTATTTAAAATGGAGATTGGTAAACTAACCTGAGAAAATTCAAGCACTTGATCTCTTTACTAATTTTGATTAAAATTTCCTTTCGCGTTGGTTAAATTGAACCGTTCTCCCTAGTGCAGCACTAGCAAAATGGCTCGGGCATAATTATGGGATGAACGGTGAATTTCCATTGGGAACTGGTGGTCCACGGAAAGGTTTGCAGTGAGCGGGGTGGGCCACAGGCCGCAAAGTTTTGAGACCCACTGCTCTAGCTTGATTCCCTCCATAGCTCCTACCCATAGCTCCTACCCTCCATAGCTCTTGCATCCCCTCTCCTCATGTGTTCCCCTCTCTGCACGCCCATGGAGCGTTCTACTCGATCCTGGGCTCCAGTCTGGGAGCAGGGGACTAGGGAAGCTGGAGTGTAACCGACTAATCATTTAACCAACAAGCTGCTGCTTATCGGTTACTGATGTTGGTTAAACTCGGCCACCTCCCCTGGAGCAGAACCAGCAGGGGCTGGCAGCCCCTCTCCCAAGGAGATTTTCAGCAATTACACTAGCTCCTACCCTCCATAGCTCTTGCATCCCCTCTCCTCCATCCCTCCCCTCTCTGCACGCCCATGGAGCGTTCTACTCGATCCTGGGCTCCAGTCTGGGAGCAGGGGACTAGGGAAGCTGGAGTGTAACCGACTAATCATTTAACCAACAAGCTGCTGCTTATCGGTTACTGATGTTGCTTAACCGACTTAATACCGCTAATGGGGACACAAGAGACCTGGCTCTCAGCTCTGGTGCCCACCAACCAGGGAAAGTCCTGATCAGCCTCTGCCACCGTAGGCTGGATCATGCCTAGTGCAGATGGAGTCTTCAGAAATGTAACTGCTGAATTCTGGCAAGTCTCTACTGAGCATGGGTGGAAGGGCAATGTGATGTGTGTGTGTGTGTGTGTGTTTTTAATTAATGCTGTCAATTTGGCCAAATTTAGGCAGCTTTTCCCAGGGGATGGCAAAAGTCATATCCCTGCCAGCAGGGCAATACCCCATGCCAAATTCCAACTCCTTGTTCAAAACACAGAGGCACCAAAACGTCTCAATGAAACGTCTCAATGAAACTTTTTTAATATTAGCAAAACATTTTACCTAACCTTATTCTTGAGCCATTTTAGCTGAAACGTAAAAACTACTGAGCCGGAGACAGACCCTGGACACAGAACATTTCAAGCTGAATGCTTAGAGGTTGGCAAAGTTATTAAAAAAAACAAAAACTGGTTCTTATAACACAGTTTTCAACCACCTTAAATAGAGGCACCATCAGCATCTCAGCTTCTATAAAAGGACCAGATGCTCAAGCAGTGTCAATTAGAATAGTTTCATGTGATTTACAAGAGCTGAGTATTGGGTCCAAACCATGTAAAATTAAGTTAGATCCCAGGAAACTATGATTTCTGTATTAGTGAAAGACCAAAGTAGTTAAGACCAAAGCAAAATTAATGGGTAGCTGGTTTAAAACAAAAGGAAGTTCTTCACACAGCACATAGTTAACCTGTGGAACTCCTTGCCTTAGGAGGTTGTGAAGGCTAGGACTACAACGGGGTTTAAAAGAGAACTAGATACATTCATGGAGTTTAAGTTCATTAATGGCTATTAGCATTCCTACCCATCCTGGCTATCTCAAGCCTCTGTTTGTCGGAGGATGGAGATGGATGGCAGGAGAGGGATCACTTGATCATTACCTGTTTGGTTCACTCCCTCTGGGGCACCTGGCATTGGCCACTGTCGGCCGACAGGACACTGGGCTGAATGGCTCTTTGGTCTGACCCAGTGTGGCCATTCTTGTGTTCTTATGTAAAGAGGCATTGGCTGGCTCTGTGAGATGTAGAGGAAGTTGCTCTGATAGGACTTAGATTCCACAATATCTATCAGACACATCATCCTAGGGTCTCATCTGATTTGCCGAGAGCTCATAGGATGCTGCCTAACTTTGCCCCTCTAGTCAGTGTACAGGAAACTTTCCATGGTGTTTGGTTTGACCACATTTTGAATCAAAACCATGTGCAAAGAGGTAGTCGGGGTAATGAGTCTGTAAGTATTTACGTGGGGAACAAATATTGGACAACGTGCTCTGTAATCCAGCAGGCAGAAGTACAACACGTCCAGGGTTGGGTAGTTGAAGTTAGACATGTCAGTCTGGAAATAAGACTTGTTAACAGCGAGGGTAATTAACCACGGACACAATCTACCAAGGGGGGTGGTGATGGATGCTCCATCACAGCCAGTCCTTAAATCAAGAGCTACAAGAGTTGTCTGGATGAAACAGGCATTATTTTGGGACAGTTCTCTAGCCTGTGCAGTGCAGGGTATCTGACTTGATCACAGTGGTCCCCTCCTAGTCTTGAGAATCTATGAACCTCTCTCTGCAGTGGGTACATCGTGATGCAGCTGTCAGGATTCTGGCTTAAACTTATTCAGAGCAAAATTTACTCCTTTTCGTTAAGTTTAGGTACTTTGAGACCCAGTACACACGGGTGGGATGATGGCTTCTTGCTTTTGATTTCAGACTGCGCGATAGGGCCCTGTTGATGTGGGCTCTGTACATTGCTAAGCAATTGCCTTCCGTTCAGACTGCTACCCAGCTCTCTCCAGGATAGCGAGCACGAGCTAAGAAGTGTGTTAAAAACAATAATGAAAACTGGTGCTAAAGCAATGCAGCGCCCCGAGTTTGGGGTTAAACACTGTAATTAACGTGCTCAGGGGAGAGAAAACAATTCTCTGCTTGCTTTGCTACCACAAAATCATGTGGTCTTAACAAAGCATTTGTCAATTGTGTGTGGCACAGATGCTAATTATATGTAAATCAGCCCTTTGGAGACACATTTCATGTACAAATGGAGCCTTTGAATAACTTTGGGACAAGCATTGGTTGAAGAATTCTGGAGCCAATTCTCAGTTATGCTACAGCCCCTTTATGTTCCTCTGGCAGAATAAAGGGGACTCAAGTGGGCAGAAATGGCCCCCTTAGAATGCCCCCTACCAGGAACCCTCCAACCCAGTGCTGCTGGGAGCGCTCATGTCTGTGACTGGGATGTCCCTGGTTTATTAAGCACCCCCTGCAACATACATTGGCCCACTCTGGGAAGCTGCGTTAATCCCACCAAAGGCTGAATACAGGAACCATGAAGACGGCTTCAAGCCACCTTTCCCCACCTCCTCTGCCTTACGTGCAATTACTGAGAATCCGATCCTTTCTTTTGACACACACAACTGTAAAAACAAGTGGCAGTGACCTCTGACCATTTCAGATTCCAGCCACACGCTTCCTTCTCCTTCCCAAACACCATTTAGCTTGAATTCTGTCCACGTCAAACCGCGGGGAGCGAGTTTAGAAATGCACTAGCAGAAGGGGGGGGAGGGAAGAAGAGTTGTTAAAAAGTGACGCTGTTTCTGTTCTCAAAATGCTTGCACTCCAATATTTTCATTTTATTTACAGCAAGCTTTGCACGTCCCCCCTCGGTCATTGCAAGTGGCTCACAGGGCCCAGTTGAAGAATTTGTCACTGGTTCCCATCTCTCTTCCCCTTCTACTCAGCATCATCATTGAACAATTAAAAGAGGACTTCTGTTCCTGGGCCCTTCGTTTAGAAGGGGACAGAAAGATTGTCTATCCTCCCCATCCCCTCTTTTTCATTCTCTGGGTCCCGGGGTCCTTGCAGGGGTTCTGAGGGGCAGGTGCAACACTCGTGGCCTTTCTCCGTGGAGATGCAGCATTTGGGAACACCAGCAGGTTTCTTCCACGGGGAGGTAGAAGACTGGTCACTAGCTCTTACTGTTGTGGGATGAGAGGCCTGACCCTTCTCACCTGCTGGAGACTCAGCCAGCTCAGAGTTGCTTGAATGTGCTGTGGGGAGCAAAGCCAGGTCTGTGCTCTCCTCCTCAGGGGTGAGCGGACTATCGAGCATGGGGATGATAATGGCCTTGTCACTGCTTTGGGGGAGGCTCAATAAGTCTTCAGCCATGTCCTTTCTCTCGGCCGAGTCCTTGCTGGAACTGAGCCTTGCGGCGTTCGTTAGAACCTGGCTGTTCCCAGTGCCAGGTTTCTTCTTCAGAACGGTAAGAGTGTGAGATGCCTCTCTTCCCTTGTTGATAATCCCTTGAACAGCTTTTAAAGCCTGCAGCATCTTTATACCAGAACCTTGTGGCAATGTTTTCATACTGAATCCTTGTTCCAGTGCCTGGTCTTCCTGGCTTCCCTTTCCGTCCATCGCACTGCTTGCTTGGAGCTCCGTGGCTGAGGGAATCGGTTTTTCCGTGGCTGGCAGCTGCTGCTCATGGCTTCCTTCCACGGCTTTCCTCTTGGGGAGGATCTCTTGGTGCCCACATCGTCTTTCACTTACAAGTGCTAATTTACTGACCTTGTGCACCAGCTCTATCATGCAGTGTGACATGGAGGGGGTGTGCAAGCTGGAGACATCTCCTGGAAACTCACCGGAAACCAGGCCAGAGGCACCAGGGAGTGGACTTTTCCTAGTTGTAAAGGAAAACAAGCAGAGTGGGACACGTGGCCACCTGAGGTTCAAAATGGGAAACCGCAAGTGGCTTCTGTGCTGCAAACACATTGAATTTGTTACTGCCAATCAGACTGATTCACTGGTAACAATCTTTCTTCTCAGTCTGATTGATTTGGAGCATTTCCTGTTTTGCAGGAAATGTCAATATTTCAAAATCTGGTGTCAGTCTGAATTGGAATGAAAACCAGGGTTTTCCTGGGAAAGAAAAATACAGGACTACGGCTACATTTCTATTACTATTCTACATCCTGGGAAAGAGACATTCTGAAATTCTATTACAGAAAAACTTAGGAATTTCATTTCAAAATGGAAGTTTTGCTTTGAAATTGGTTTTGTTTTTATATTTGTAGATTACTTCTGTGTTTGCACTGTTTCATGAAATGTTAGCAGCTGTATTACCTAATGACAGGTAATACCAAGTCCTCCCGGTATCGTGATACGACATAAAGTGTCCTATTATGTCCTACCATTTTTTGATTTGTTCTAAGACAACATGATTTGCCATATTATGATATAGTTAGTAGTTGAAATATTTGAATTTATTTTATTTCTAAATTCATTGAGGGCAGCAGCTATTTGGTACTAAGTGAAACATCTTATTTTCCAAATCAAAGTGTCTCCTGTTTGTGGTGGTGGGAAATAGTTTGGTAGTTAAACAAGAAAAGAAACTAAGCCCATGGGCTTAGCTCCTCACGGGTAGTTAAGTTCCATTTCCATGTGATGTGATTGGACATTCGGAGCCTAAACACCTTTGAGGATATGGGCTGTAGGGTTATGGAGGAGTAACTCTTTCAGTCTACTGGTGTTAGTCAGTGAGCATTATTTTCTTAGGATATTGAAGACGAGCTCCTCTCATTAGCATCTGACTGAAAATTGCTTCAATGAAAATTTTCCCATTGGCTCTAGGAAGGACCTCAAGTCTGGGCCCTGAATGAGAAACCATCTTAATGCACCTGAAACCTTTTGGCAAACATAAAGGCTGTGTCTATACTGGCATGAATTTCCGGAAATGCTTAAAACGGAATAGTTTTCCGTTATAAGTATTTCCGGAAAAAGAGCATCTACACTGGCAGGCTGCTTTTCCGGAAAAGCCCTTTTTCCGGAAACGCGTCTGTGGCCAATGTAGACGCACTTTTCCGTAAAAAAGCCCCGATTCTCATTTTCGCGATCGGGGCTTTTTTACGGAAAAGACTACTGTGCTGTCTACACTGGCCCTTTTCCGGAACAGTATAGTTTTTCCGGAAAAGCAGCTGATTTCTTACAGTAGATCGTCACTGCTTTTCCGGAAATTCAAGGGGCCAGTGTAGACAGCTCACAGCTTATTCTGGAAAAGCGGCTGATTTTCCGGAATAAGTGGCCCAGTGTAGACACAGCCAAACAGTTTAGGAACTCTTCTGTCTCCCCTTCCCAGGCCTTTCCTTCTGTCCTTTAACTTTACACTTTAAAGGTCAAAACGCAAAGGTTATAAAACTATGGTACGCCCATGTGACGTAGTGGGGGTACCTGGCTGGTTTCTATGCTGCTGGCTCTGGGGTAACCCCCACTGGCTGCCGTGGGTACCACGACCCAGCAAAACAGGACGAGTCACTATGCAAACTATTATGGCCAGACACCCCCCATGGAGAGGAACAAAGGAAGGTGGAATACTGCCCTGGCTGGGGGGCAGGGCGGGAAGAGAGTTAGTTCCTGTCTGGAAAGCAGGGGAGAAGGAGCTGGGGAGGGGGGCTGGGACTCCCCTATCTCAAGGGGGCACTGAGGCCTCTTAGCCCCAGTTCCTGTAACCAGATTACATCTGTGCTATGCTGTATCCTGGAGGAGCAATAAACCACCCTCAATTCCACTGGCTGGTGGAGTCTGTTTGTGCCATTTCGGGGTGCAGGAGACGGGGGACCCCCAACGCGCCGTCACAGCCCACATCTTGAATTCTGTGCACAGATGTGGTCTCCTCACCTCAAAAAAGATATTTTGGCCTTAGAAAGGGTTCAGAAAAGGGCAACTAAATGATTAGGGGTTTGGAACGGGTCCCATATGAAGAGAGGTTAAAGCGACTGGGACTTTTCAGTTTAGAAAAGAGGAGACTGACGGGGGATATGATCGAGGTCTATAAAATCATGAGTGGTGTGGAGAGGGCCGATAAAGAAAAGTTATTTATTAGTTCCCATAATAGAAGAACTAGAGGACACCAAATGAAATTAATGGGTAGCAGCTTTAAAACTAATAAAAGAAAGGTCTTCTTCACACAGCGTGTAGTCAACCTGTGGAACTCCTTGCCAGAGGAGTGTGAAGGCTAGGACTATAACAGAGTTTAAAGAGAAGCTAGATAATTTCATGGAGGTTAGGTCCATACAAGGCTATTAGCCAGGGGATAAAATGGTGTCCTTGGCCTCTGTCTGTCAGAGGCTGGAGAAGGATGGCAGGAGACAAATCACTTCATCATTGTCTTTGGTCCACCCTCTCTGGGGCACCTGGTGCTGGCCACTGTGGGCAGACAGGCTACTGGGCTAGATGGACCTTTGGTCTGACCCAGTACGGCCGTTCTTATGTTCTTAAAATGGGTCCCATCACCGCATCCACCTCCTTGAATGTTCTGGAGCAAAAGGACCCCAAAGAAGTCCAGAGGCAGTTTCTAGTCCATTGATGTCACCTCTCAACATGACAGTTGGGACTATTATGAGTTAATGACTCCAGAAGGCTGTGATGCAAAGAGAACCAGCAAATTGAGGGTTATTAAGATGCAGCTCCTCAAGGCTGATCATGAGGAACCATGTGCTTGCTGGCCAAATTCGGTGTTCTCCTTTGCCCCCTGGACAATAGCCCGATCTGAAAAGTGCGGCTCTGATGGTACAGATCTGATGGGCAGTATCAGTGTTGTGATACTGATGACTGGAATAGATACTTATGGGTAAGGCCAGTGGCTAAGGAAGTGGAGAGTTGTGTATGAGTGCTGTGGGGAAGGAAGCACTGGATTGTCATCTGGTCTGCTTCCCTAGGTCAGCTTGCTAGGACAGTTGCTTTTGAGTCACCTACAGATCAGTTCCAGTGTGTATTATGTATCAGAGTTAATAGATACACTCCCTTGTAACTAAAACCCCTCCCTACCAGTAGACTGCCCTGGGCTTTGGTGGATTTGATCTAGCCCTGATAATGTAGTGGTTTGAGGACCTGTCATGTCTGCTTGTGTTGTAGCCTGTTACTTAACTCAAGTTGTTTCAGTATAAGAGGGACACGTGGTTTGCTTCTGGCTCAACTCTGCTTTATGCAGGATTCCAGCTACAGTTGCTTCCTAACGCAAATAAGACCTGTCTACGCTGGGGTCTCATCTACACGCAGGAAATTAGGACCTGAAAATCCCCACCGGTGGTACCAACCGTGGAACTGTAGTGTTGACAGAGCTCAGGCAATTTGATCCCCTTCTCTTAGGAGGATGGTTTTAAAAAATGCCTGGGATAGAAACACCCAGGTGGAAAAACATCCGAGTTTTGTTTGCTCTACAACTTGCACTGGTGGGGTCATTACACATCCCCATTTCTGTATATGAGAGGCAGCCTGACCGGACTTGTCGTGTGAACCCTTGTGGCTATGGCTGTGTTTACAGCACTGTTCTAGAACCCAGAGAAAAGGCTTGGCCAGTTCATACCTGGGGGACCTGTGTCTCTCCTGGGTGAAAACAGGTGGCCGGTTGATTCGAAGGGCTGATTTAGGTGGCTTCTGACCTGGCTGATGAGCTAGGTAGATGGAGCGCAGATGCTGCTTCACATTCTCCCGTGTACAATAGTAAAAGGTCTTTCCTGGAATAAAAGTCCAATAATCAATAGGAGCCTCTCTGCCACAGAGCCTTAGACACAGCATTTTTAAACAAGGAAGCAAATATTTTCCATGCTTTGCCTTTGTGCTCTCGAGTTCAACCCAAAGCGGCAGAATTCTCTGGCTTATTTTCCATTTCACTCCCTGCCCCATGCTGGGATGTTAGTGCCAGGTATCCCTGACAGCCCAAATGTGCCGTTACAAATACTTATAGGATATGGAGTCCCCCATCTTCAGTGCCAATGAACCAACGTGCAGTGAAACCACCTCCTGAGTCCTGCAAACTGCACCCTGGCATAGGGTGACAGTGTGAATGCCGAATCTCAGAAGGGTAGCTGTGTTGTTTCTGCAAAAGCAATGAGGAGTCCTGTGACACCTTAAAGACTAACGGCTTAGCTTCACTCTGCGGAAGATCAATGTGGCCATGATTGATCTCCCAGAGTTTGATTTAGTGAGTCTAGTTAAGACTCGCTAAATCAAACTCAGAGGGCGTCCGGTACTCCTGCTTTTCTGAGGACTAGGGGAAGCTGATGGGAGTGTTTGCCTTCTGCTGTGAGGACATCTCCAAGCTTGGCTTAAGTTGCATACCTTAAGCTGAGCTGTTGGGTCTAATGTAGACCTGGCCTAACAGATTGATTTGGGCATAAGCTTTTGTGCGTAAAATCCCACTTTTTTGTGTGTGGGGGTAAAAACCATGCATCTGACAAAGCATTTTTTACCCATGAAAGCTTATGCCCAAATCAGTCTGTTAGTCTTCAAGGCTATATCTAGATAGCAGCACTATTTTGGGATCCTGGAAGTATCCCCAAATAGCTATTCCGTGTCTTTAAATGCACCCGTTATTTCAAAATAACAGGCATGCTATTCCAGTGTCCCTGTAACCCTCAAGGGTTAAGGTACATTTTGAAATAGTGCTTTATTTCGAAATTTGATGCTGTGTAGACAGCACCAGATTTGAAAATAAGCCATTTTGAAATTAGATCGAAATAAGATACACAATTTGTGTAGCTCAAATTCCGTATCTTATTTCCACCTATGGGTGCAGTGTAGATGCACCCTAAGGTGACACAAGACTCCTTGTTGTTTTTTTAGTATGAATGCCCACAGCCCCGATACTTTTGTCCTTGGTTTGAGCCATCTGATTGGAACATGTGCATATTCTATCTTGCAGCCTTATTTCTACTGTTGCAATGAATAGAATGGCAGAGCAAGCTGGATGCACTCAGCTTCTGCACAGCTGGGCAGTCCGGTCATATCTGATAACAGGAGCAGGAGGAAAGTGGTGATGTTCTCTTTTGCCTCTAGAGTTGACACTGCAAACATGGGAGGTTTGTACTTCTCTCCCGCCCAGTTGATTGTCCAGAGACACTGCGCTAGCCAGAAACGTTACATAGCATCCATCCCACAAAGACACTGTCAGTGTCTTTGTCAGTAACCAAGTGAGTTATAAGATCAAGAACACATATTCCTGCGCATCCAGAAATATAATCTATGCTATCATGTGCCGAAAGTGTCCGTCTGCTATGTACATTGGACAAACATCTCAGACACTTCGCCAAAGGATTAATGCCCACAAAACAGATATCAGACAAGATCACAAAGAAAAAACAGTTTCTTGCCATTTTAACCAGAAAGGACACTCTCTCAATGACTTAACCACCTGCATTCTGCTACAAAGACCTTTTACATCTGCACTTGAAAGGGAATCCTCTGAACTGTCATTCATGTTAAAATTCGACACTCTCCAAAAAGGAATGAACAAACACTCGAACTATCTTACCCATTACCAAGATAGCTTCCCCAATTATCACCTCTAATACCATTAACTCACAAACATCCCAATCTCCCTACCTCTAATACAGGGGTCTCCAAACTTTTCAGCCCGAGGGCCGCATTAACTATCAAACAGCAGTTCGGGGGCCGACTACACACTTGAGGTCCAAATAAAAAACAATCAAAACATGGATGTTGTTTTTAATTATTTATTTAATATTATTTTATTCAGTTATTATTTAATAACACATTCATACACTACACATGAACACCTGTATTAGTGTGAATGGTGAAATTGTTTCCTGGATGCCAAAATAGCAGACATTTCTGGCTTTAGATTTGTTGTCCCTAACATCAACAGTGACCTGAGATTATCATCGGACAAGTTTGTTCTCAAATTGTTCTTCACGTATTTCATTCTTGAAAATGTTGTTCAGTTTCCCCAGATGGTCCAGGCCTGTGCTGATGTTTGTGCCACGTTAAGGAGATCTGGTGGACAGGGTGATAGCCACAGTTTCACTCTGTCCCTTTTTGGCATACAGCTGGACATAGTCTGGCAGCTAACGTGGTGGGAAAAGCATGACCAGCACACGTTATGCAGGTTGGCCAACTCCTGGTTTTGTTGTGAGTTTGCCTGCCTGCTGTGTTCAAAGAGTATGGTAGGAGTCATCTACAGTAGTGGGCAAACCATGTCAAGCCAAGATTGGGAAGCACTGAAGAGAATTGTGGTAGACACCAGTTGTGAACAGCTACCCACTTTCCTAGCATATGAGCAGAGATTAAAGAGACTAGGACTTTTCAGCTTGGAAAAGAGGAGACTAAGGAGGGACATGAGAGAGGTCTATAAAATCATGAGTGGTGTGGAGAAAGTGAATGAGGAAAAGTTATTTACTTGTTCCCATAATATAAGAACTAGGGGCCACCAAATGAAACTCATGGGCAGCAAGTTTAAAACAAAGGAAGTTCTTCTTCACACCGCGCACAGTCAACCTGTGGAACTCCTTGCCTGAGGAGGCTGTGAAGGCTAGGACTACAACAGGGTTTAAAAGAGACCTAGATAAATTCATGAAGGTTAAGTCCATTAATGGCTACTAGCCAGGATGGGTAAAGAATGGTGTCCCTAGCCTCTGTTTGTCAGAGGGTGGAGATGGATGGCAGGAGAGAGATGGCTGGATCGTTACGTGTTTGATTCACTCCCTCTGGGACACCTGGCATTGGCCACCGTCGGCAGAAAGGTACTGGGCTGAATGGACCTTTGGTCTGACCCAGTCTGGCCATTCTTATGTCCTTATGTTCTTACCTGGAGTCATAAACTGGTATTGTGCAATGGTTTGGTATCGCTTTTTCTCCAGCTCTTCAGGGGTCAGTCTTTACCCAGAAAACAAGACAGGAAAAGCATCACAGTTAGACCAAGTGTTCACCTCTTCTCATCTCCACGGCTGAGAGAAGCAGCTGACCAGACCTGACCATCAAATCCTCTCACCCGGGCTACTCTCTACTTGCTAATCAGATCGTGGGGCACGTTTACACTACATAGAAGATCGACGCTACCACGGTTGATCTCCCGGGGTTCGGATTTGTGGGTGTAGTATAGACCCACCAGATCAAACTCAAAGGGTGCCCTCATAGAAAGGCACTGGTACTCCGACTCCTCGTGTGGAGTAAGGGAAGCTGACGGGAGCGTTTGCTCCTGCTTACCTCCCGCTGTGTAGACGCAGTTACATAAATTACGTATTTTTAAACTGGAGTTGCATATCTTGCTTTGACCTTCCCATGTAGTGTAGACCAAGCCATAGAGATTCCATGTGTTACAATATGAGGGTGTGAGGGCTGACGCAGAGGGACGATGTTTGCACCAGAACCCTATGTTTGAGGGTGGTTACGCTCTGAAAAGCCTCTCTAAAAACTGCAGGACAGACTCCAGTGCCAGGTCCGTTCTCTCAGTGACTCCATTTCAGATATGTTCAATTTACAACAAAAGACTGTTTCTCCTTAAGTTAAGCAGGGCCCTTTCTAGTTCACTTGCTATCACTGGGGATAATTCTTCTGCTGGAACTCAGTAGACATAGTAGTTGATGCTCTGGCCACATGGATTCAGCTCGCTCTCCCAAAGCTGAGCTGCTCTGCATAGTTAACAGAAGTAAACAGGTTGTTCAGTGAAGTCAGTGGCAGTGAGTTGGAGACACGCAAGAGCTGCTGAGCGCTATTTTTTTACAGTCACAGTTCTGACCATAGCTACATTTAACAGTTAGCACATGGGTACAAAACTGAAAAGAAATGCTGTTCTGAGACATGCTTGCCTATCGGTCTATGTTTCAGTTATAGCCTATAAGGTGATCAGTTAAGAATGTGCTCAGGGGAGTGTATTACCTCTTATTCTCCCCAAGTCTGCTGAAATCACTGTATCTTTGAGCTTGTGCTGGCTGTATATGGTGTCTTCTCTTGGTCACAGTGCTGTCTTCACCTCTTGTCCCAGGATTGTACGGCTTTTTGGGAGTTAGAAAGGAAAAGATACAAATAAGAAAAGTTGAATGTATTTCCAGATGAAGTGAATCCTCATTCAACACAAAGGAAGATTCAAACTCAGGGATGCTGGAGAGAGTATTTCTAGGTAGTAACCTTAATTTTGCTTCTCTTGCAAATAATACCCTGTGCTGAAGTCAAAATAATGGCATCGGTCACAAAGTTATTAATGAAATAAGGAAAACTTCACCACTGGGTCACTAGTTCAAATCCGTGTTGAAGGATTTCAGATTCAAATACACACTTTCTCCAGCAATAAGTGCTTGATACATGGAGGTACTTACACTCCCTGAGTTTTGTTGGACTGCTGGCTTTGGGGGGGCACTGTAGCATCTGGATTCTGCAGGTATCTCGGAGTGAGACGCATAGGAATTGCTCCACCCACTATGTCGGTTTTGAATAAACATCCTGTGAGAGAGAAACTAAACATGTTGCCAGTTCTTTAGTATCGGAGCCAAATGAATCTCGATTGTAACCCAGTGGCTTTAATGGGCTTTCACTAGGGACAAACGCTGCCCAGTGTGTTCAGTGTAGCAAAGCTGCTTCCTCTGAAAAGTGACTATTACAAGTAATAATTTTTAAGTTTATCCTGTACAGACTAACTCGGCTACCCCCTGAAGTTTCTATTACAAGTAAGTGAGGAGAACTTGAGAACCTCTCCTGGTTCGCTGTTTGATTAGCTGTCGTAACAATGAATTTTGCCTTGGTAGGTGGAGTCTGTGTGGTACAGCTTGGGGCTTGTGAGCCTTTCACACTCTTCTCCTGAAGTCTTGGTAAGTGATCTGATTAGCATTGTTACGGAAAAAATGAATGGCAGGGGTTGAAAAGCGCTGCACCCACCAGGGATTTTTTCCAACTCTAGGCTTCAGTTATACACTGGGAGGATTGTTGGGGTTGGGGGTGGTGTCTGGGGAGCTTGAAGGGAAATGATTATTGGCCTCTCCGCACCCCGAAGCGAAGTGGCCATCTAAATGTGGTATTGCGCTGACTGTAAGAGCCAACTCAGACCCAGCAGGGGTGCCCCCGCACCACTCCTCTCCTCCGCTACTGGTATCTACACCCAAATCGCCCTCCATGTGAGACAAAACTAGCAGACAGACCGGGACTGGACATACTAGCTCCTTCACTCTGCTCTGACCCCATTCCCTGCACCCCAGGGCTTCCCCCACTGCTGACACTGCACTTTTCAAATCTCCAAAGCTGTTGGATTTGAAAAGGATGGGGCATCTAACTAGCAGGGACGCCCCGAGCACAGTGGAGTGCAAATCAGGCTGCAACAGCGGGACCAGAGGAGGAGACCTGGATGTTGCCACCATCAGAAAAGGTTGCATCTTTGCCCACGAAAGCTTATGCTCCTACACTTCAGTTAGTCTATAAGGTGCCACAGGACTCCTCGCCGCTTTCATCAGAAAAGGGATTCTGAACTTTTCCACATGCTCAAATAGCAGGAGCGAGTGTATGGGAGAAGTGCAGGGCCAGCATAGGTCCCACTCCATTCTCTCAAGGGAGCTGTGCACACTGAGTTCAGTCCATACGGATTTCTGCATGCAAATCCCTAAGTCTGCACTGGCAATGGGGGATGTAATCTCCAGATCAAGGAGCCCTTGCTTGGGCTGAGCTAGCACACAATACAGAAGTGCAGCAGCAGGGGCGCATGAAAGCGGAGGCATTAGTGGGGCAGCATCTGATTCCATCGAGGCCGTAGGCACAGACTCGCCTGGCTAACATGTCCCCCTGCATTCACACTGCTGTACTTGGAGCTAGTGCAAGTATGTCTCCTCAAGCTGGAATTGACATCGTCCCACTCCAGCATGGACACACACGTAGAGAATGAGATCATAGAAATGCAGGCAAGGCGCAGCAGACAAGGTATTACCTCTTGCGAGTATTTATATCCTGGTCTGAAAGCGTTCTCCTTGGTATTGGTTTCTGTCCCACAATACCTGATGCTGGTCGTTTTGTGACCCAGTGGGAGAGTCTGGTTTTCATTTCCTTCTGTTTCTCAGAGTTTTTCTTCATTCTGGGCTGTTTAACCTTCGACCCCTGCCTGCCTTCCATCCCAGGCTGGGGGAGGACTTCCTTCAGTTGGGCTGCTTCTGCCATGCTGTCCTTGCGCCTTCTGGATCTTTGTCCTTTATTGTTAATCTAGAGATTTATTCTCCTGAAGACAGAAGGAGAGGGGGGAGATTATTAGAGAGAATTTCAGGCCCAAAGTGACTGCATATGCTGTTCTGCAAATGACAGAGATAAACCCCACCCACTGAAAACATCTCTGATCTGTGGGTCAACCACAACATGAACTGAATAAGTGTGGCAGTAGCGTTCAGTCACCTGCCAACTTCTGATTCCAATAGGGACAACCTAATCCTATCTGAGCCCAGCAGGGCTTCTCCTTGCAACAGGATGGCTGTCGGACATGATCTGTGACTCTCCTCCCTCTCCGCAGAGGAGCCAACCGACGAGCCTTCAAATTCAAACTCCCAAAGTTCCGAGAGAGCCATCTGGGGGAAGCTCTTGTTCAAGGTCTAGGACCCTGCCCATCGACACTGGCTCTGTAAACCTGGCTCTGTGGGACTCTGGGGTGTGGATCTGGTGTTTCCGAGTTCATGGTTGAGCATCCACACTGCATCATAAATCGGGTCTTATAATTGCTAGGCCCTGGTCTCCCAGCTGTGCTCATTGGTCCAAACTGCACTATGCAGACCTTCTGACTCAGAGCTTTGTTTAAGGTGTGTCCACACTGGGAAATGAGAGCTTGGCCCTGAATCACAGATGGACTCAGATTCCTTTCCACCCTAAGACTCTGGTCCTGAGTGCTTGCTGACCTGATTCAGACTGATTTGTGAGTGGACAAAAGGGGGGGGAAGGGGCTTGGGGTGAAACCAGAGTCAGAGATGGTGTGCATTATAGACATACCCTTTTTGTCTCCATGCGCCCAGTCCTGTTTTGGTCTTCACCCCACAACATCACAACATCCCCCTGCCCCATTATACAATTTTGCTTAACATTTCTCGAATGAGAACATCTCCATTAAACAGCTTTCAAATCAGCATAGTTCTTTCTTCACAAATGCCGGTAATGCTTCTTGGTCTAACCTACCTCATCATATGTTTTGTTTACATCACATACGTTATACAAAATGGAAGTTAGTTCAAGGAAATTATAAAAGATATATTGGTGATTTTCACATCTTTCCCCTATTACAGCAAACTTGCATTAGTATTGTGAGTTTAACTGTACTGGCCTGAAACAAAAGGATATTACAACTAACACATTTTTTTAAACCTCTGAAGTAGCTTTCATATGTCTAATGTTGGTTGACAGTCTGATCTTTTCCCATGTTTCAAATGGATAGAATTGATGGACTATATTGGAAAGAGAGGTTTCAGCAGTCTCATGGGATAACAAATCTATTTCTGGTCCTAAGCTTCACAAGGTGTTTGCTTTTTAAACTTTTCACTAGCCCAGGACTCATTATTGCTTTTTTGCTCTTTTTTGCCCTTTGGGCCCTTGTAACTGGGGGAAGAGGAGGTGAAGAGGGAGCTCCCCAGATAGGAGAAAGCAGTGAGTGTATTCCATAGTCTTGCAAAACGGGCCTCCCAATGCAGACCATGGCAGGCGGAGGACTCACCCAAGAAAATAGCTGCAATAGAAAGCGAAGAGTTGCCTTTCATTCCCCACATGGGAAAACCTGGGGTGGGGAGAGCTGCTTGAGAATCAACCTCTCCTCTTGCTGATCTGTCCCAGCTTTGGAATAGAATGTTTAGACCTTGAACATTCCAGTTGCTCCGCCCCAGAACATTCAGACAATGAGCATTCCACCAGCTTCCCCGGAGCTGATAAGGGCTAAGAAGTCTCAGAGGAGTCGCCATGTTAGTCTGTAACTTTAAAAGCAATGTGCAGTCCTGTGGTATCTGAGAGACTAAGAAATAAAGTTCAGGTGCTGGTCATTCCTACCTCTGCTCTGCAGTGAAAGGCAGCAGGGTCCCCGCTGCAAGGATGCAGGAAGGGCTGTGACTGCTGCCACGTTTCTTTTCAGCACCAGGGACAGCTCCCTGCATCCGGCCTCTATCCAGGACCTTGGGGGTAGTGCACAGATGCTGTCACAGCTCTCTGGGGAAGGGGGAGGGGTTTGAATGGATTCTCTCTTTATCCCTGAAGGGGCAAAGATTTGCCTTTCTTATGATCATGGGGGGGAGATGCACAAATGGAAGAGGGTCTTATCTTGGGACACAGAGGGCAAAGGAGGGAGAATGTTTACTTGATTCCCTAGATGGTGGGATATGGGTGTAGAGAGGACCTTGAAAATATTCTCCTGGCTCCTGGGAGGAAGTGTTGGGAGACCTTATCCTACTCAGTCAAAAGGGCAATGATCTGTCTGGACCATTAAGCTGGTCCAAGGAACTTAATGCCCAGGACACTTTTCCAAAGCCATCTCATAAACGTCAGTTTTGCCTTGAACGCATAGAGCAGTAAGGAGTGTCCACATCTTCTCACTCCCAACACACAATCACAAATTTTTTGCAAGCAAGAGAAATAATTGTAAAGTCCATTGTAGTTTTAAAGACCAGGCCAAATTTGCAAGAGGAACAAGTAAGCACAACTCCACTGCCTGCAGGCTGGTGGGGTATGTATAAACTTCATGGCTCCCTCAACGGAGCCATGTAGATTTGTTTGTTCGGCAAAGGGAAATGAAGCCGAGATTTAAATAATAGTGGCTTCATTTAAATTTGAATGGCTGCCGCGCTGAGCCGACAAACAGCTGATCAGCTGTTTGTTGGCTCAGCACTCTAGTCTGGACACTTCCGCGCCGACCTGACAACAGTGAGTTTAGTTCTGTAGATTCAAATTAGACTCGTGAAAATAATTCCTTAAATGTGCAACAGTATCTTTTCATCCTTAACGTCTGATGCTGGGCAGATCAAAATAAACTATGCATGTTCAGTTCCCGGAAGTATCTCTTTGGGAGGAGAATGGTTAAAGTTTCCAATAGACCTAGTAAAATTATTCATTGCAAATAATATTCACTGTGAAATTAACCTTTGTTCTGTTTTTGAATCATTCACAAAGTAACCCTTGTAGTTGGAACATATTTGTTCATTAGTATTTGGAAGAACAGTCTCCAGCCTCTGGTTTGGTTTTACTATTTGCCCTGTGTGCATGGTCATTTAAGTCGCTTAGATCTTGTCTACACTAGAACAGGTTGCTAGTGAACCTGTACTGTCAAACCCTCCTTTATAGATGCAGCTTAAACCAGTTCCCTGACCAAGGTAAGCGAGGCTGACAAAAAGACTTCTTTGCTTGTATAAAAACTTTTGCTTTTATACAAGCACAGATGTGTCAGGTGAGAAGTGATTTCCCCCTCTCCCCCTTCTCTTAAATGCCATAACTCTGCTGGTAAAACTTTGAAGTGTAAACTAGGCCATATAGTAGTCTTCCTGCTCCTGGACAGAAGGAAACTTTTTGCACAGGACATTAATCTATATCAAGTGGTAAATACTGTGCAATCTTTGTGCTTCCTGTGACTTTTGGGTGAAAAAAATCTTTATGCTAAAATTGATATAAATGTCAAGATGTGAACATTTTCAGATGTATCCAGTGGTTGCTGGAATACTCATTGTGATAGCATAGTGAAGAAAGGCTGTTTATTCACGAATATACTTTCCAAACTGATAATCTGGGGGGATTCAAGTTATTCAACCAGCTGTAATTTTCTCCAATAATCAGATTGTAGGGGAATCATTTTTTATTCACAAGATGCAGCAGATCATGAATATACTTTCCAAACTGGTAATCTGGGGGGATTTAAGTTATTATTCAACCAGCTGTAATTTTCTCCAATAATCAGATTGTAGGGGAATCATTTTATATTCACAAGATGTAGCAGATCAACAAATAAAACTCTTTAGGGCTGGATTGAGCCTCCTTTCATTCAGACCAGTGAGTACATTCCTACACAAGTGGGTCCACTGACTTCACGTGAGCCAGATTGAGCCTCCTTTCACTCAGACCTGTGAGTACATTCCCACACAAGTGGGTCCACTGACTTCACGTGAGCTCACCATTAGAAGCCAAGGGGTCACAACAGAGACTGCTTTATAAAATGGCAGTGTCGTCTTTAGTAGGAACTCCCATGCAACATGAGTTATGCAGTACATCTGAACCTATCTCCTTGCAGCCTGGCAACTGTCTCTGTTGCTATAGAAACATGGTTTCACCATCCTTTCATGTTGAACTTCAAGAATTTCCAGTCCACCCTCTTGTTGACATTTTATAAGTTGCCAAACACCCTCAGTTTATTTTATTCGTTTGGTAATATGAATAATTAGGATCTCTTCCCAAAACATGCAATTAAAAAAAAGTTATTCAGCACTTCTTTGTTCATTACTGAAGAAGATTTGATTGCTGAATAAAAATTTTGACACAGTTTAATCTATACAGTTTGCTCTGTAACTATCAGATCTGTTCTAAGATACAGATGTATAGCATTTTTTAATGTGTATCTTTGTGAATCATCATGCACATTTGAGATGTGATGTGTTTAAAAGAAAAAGGCTGAAAATATACCTATTGCACAGAAGTACCAATTAACTCAAACACTTTTTCTGAACATGATGAAGAGCCAGCCTTTGGAACTCTCTGGGACGTGACGCTCCAACACTAGAGCAATATATGTCTATATAAATAGATAATATTAGGCAAAGAGATTAGCAAGATTCAAAAAGTGAGCTGTCCATCCAATGGCCAGATCTCAGTGCTATATAGCAGCAAAATATTTTTCTTATCTGTATAAATAGTACAAATATTCTCCTCAGGCTATGTTCCATGGGGCAAAGATGCTGGAGATTATCTAACCTCATGCTTCCAAACACACGGCTGCCATTAATTTCCTGGAGTTGGGAAGCAGTGTCCCCAGGGTTATTGCAATTTACATTATGGAGCTGACTTGCCTTTCCCTGAAGCATCTTGTACACCAGCTGTAATTTTCTCCAATAATTGGATTGTAGGGGAATCATTTTGTATTCACAAGATGCAGCAGATCAACAAATAAAACTCATTCAGACCAGTGAGTACATTCCCACACAAGCGGGTCCACTGGTCACTGTGGAAACAGGACTTTGCCTAGATGCAAGTTAAGATTGAGACCCCATGGCATAAGGTGCCCCCTTTCTCCTTCAAGCCTCAAGTGTTTTACAGAGTTAAATACCATTAGTCAATAAAAAGAGGGTAGGGGGAAAGCAAGGGGGAAATCTAATTGAGAAATCTAGAGAAAGAACATGACTTGACACTTGTCAGCTGTGGATAGTAATTCAAACAGAAATATTGGGAGGAGACCAGAAAGAGAATCCAGATCAGCTGATTTTTGGCATACACAATGCCACAGTTCCTAAGCCTATGGGGTACAAAAGCCAGCTCTCTCCTACTCCTGCCAATCAAAATGGACTGTTCTGAAGCTGGATTGCCGGTGTGATGAAAAGTGTAGGAAGCTGCTGGCCGCAGAGTAATGCAGAAATAGCATGCGAGAGAGAGAAGAAAGGAAATCATCACCAGCACTAAGGGAGACATCTATAACCACAGCAGCTGTGTTTATGCTGCTTTGTGTAATAGGCACCAGCCTTCAGTCCCTGGAGAGATTTTACAGCATTAATTCGCTCTGCATAATTCCAGCCAGCGACGCTTCTCTTCAGCAGCCACCGTTCCCAGCCTTCCACCTTCCCCTGCTACGGAGAGAGAGCGAGAGGGGCCAGTAGGAATTGCACCTCTCCAGCTGATCTTCCTTCCCCCCCCCCCAGCCCAATGTCTCCTGTGCCCAGTGAAGCAGATCCCGAAGTACCCCGAATGGACCCAAGGATTCTGATTTTCCTTCTCTATGTGGTGATCCTCCATGAGCTGGTCAGTGGCTGGATGGAGTATCAGAAGCAAGTAACCAAGCCTAAAAAACAAGCCAGTCCAGTTTGGTCCTCCAGGTGAGTTGAGGTTTAATATTAAAGAAGAGGGGATTAGCTCCATGCTTGATTCATGTATGTAAAGATGGGCAAGGTTGCTCTCTTACGGATGGTTGGTGTGTGTGTGTGTGTGTGTGTGTGTCCATCCATCCCCTTCTGCACTCTATGAATGCACTGTTGTGATCTTACATCTACTAATCATTCGACTATGCACAGTATGAGCACATTGTAGCTTTGATAGATTTATACTTGTGATTTGTTTTACTGTGAATACAGACTATAACCCCAGTGACTTAGACCTGCAAATAGCATACACTGGAGGAAAAGAATGTGGATAAATATATTTCATGCATAATATTCATCAGTGTAACATAAGCCTCAATAGACTTCTAGTAATCCTGAGTATTTTAGATTAAATCTCTAGAGATTGTCAATATCAAGTGCTTTCCCCCTCCCCCACTCTTTGGGCTGTGCCCCCTGTACTAATCTTTTTTTTTCTCCTACATAATATGAAATATTGTGGGAGGAGATGAGGCTGTAAAAGAAAAGCCCCAAATGACCTTAATATTAAAGTGTATGTTTGTGCCAACATTCACCGTACAGTCCAGTGTGATATGCATGTCCCTAATAATTCTGGAGCCTTATGATGACACATTGTTTGGCAT